GTAATGAATTAATTTAACTAATTACCGTCCTCTTAACAACAAATGTTTATGAATATATCAAATAAAATCTATAGCGGATTTTGACCTTTGACCTGAACAGCTAGACTAAGGTCAGGTTAGGTCAAAGAGATTCCAGACCAGATTGAGATGGGAATATGTAACTTTTGCATTCAAATTCAAATTCACAATTCTGACATTTGATATGTATGCGATACAATTGTAATTACTCCTTACTTGAATATGCATGATCTGGATGGTATGTGTTTGTATTATTTAGATTTTTTTTCGTTACATCAAAAAAAATTCTCTTCGAAACAGTACATTATGAACTGCATATATAAATGAAAAAAACGAAATATGAGGCAATGATAATCCAAACTGTAAGAAATTAATTGAATAGTTTACCCTTGATAAGTAAAATGATAAATATCTATGTCTTTTAAAGCATTGCATCACTTTTATTTATAGTAACATTATATTCTTCCAAATTCCTCTGACCTTCAATGGAGTCATCTAACCAAGATACACACACACGCACACAGATACATGCATAGACACATACACACATTCGTACATACATACATACACACATACATACATATATATACATATACAGACACATACATACATACATACATACATACATACATACATACATACATACATATACATAGACAGATACATACAAACATACATACATATATACATAGACAGACACATACAAATACACACATATATACGAAGACAGATACATACATACATAATATATATAGATCGATAGAAACAGGTACGTAAATAAGAGAGAGACAGCACAACAAAACAGTAAACAAAAAGAAGAAAAAGAAAAGGAAATAATAGCCCCGTCTCCCTTGAGAGAAATTCCATCATTAATATTTATGTTGTTTATTATTTATGTTCAAAGCTGATTTGTTCTTTGACTGATGTATGTGTGTGTGTGTGGTGTGGTGTGTGTGTGTGTGTGTGGTGTGTGTGTGTGTGTGTGTGTGTGTGTGTGTGTGTGTGGTGTGTGTGTGTGTGTGTGTGTGTGCGTGTGTGTGTGTGTGGAAGTAGAGTGAGTGGGTACTTGTGTTGAATGTTGTGTTGTGTGTCTGTGTATGTGTGTGACTGTGTTTGTGTGGGGGACATGTTTGTATTTGTGTGTTTAAGTATTTGTATTTATGTGTGTACTTGTGTGTGTGTACTTTTTTCTGTGTGTGTGTATGTTTGTGTCTTTGGATTTATGCATGAATGTGTGTGTCTGTTTATGTTTTAAGAAAATAATAAAAAAATGAAAAGTAAATTTATAAACACGTACGATATACAAATCAATAAAATTAGTACTCAAACACAGCCAATAAAAAAAGAGGAAACACTAACAAAATATTTGAAGATTTAAGTTTAAGAGAACCGGAAATAATGACAGCTTGAGAAATATTAACAAAATGCTCCCTGTTAATCTTCCTTGCATATGCGCGCCATTTTAACTAACTTACCCATGGAAAATAACGAGAATTTGAACACGTAATTTTGACAGGATCATATATTCATTATGATCATATTTTTCAGTATTATTATCTGTATGATATCATTATGATAGTATTTAGTGGTTGTTGCATGGTTATAACTAGTGCTTTTGGCAATAACTTGTAATAAAACCAAGATATTATAAATTCAAGATTGTTTTGGCAAATGTATTATTTTCCATAAAAAAAATTGTGTCCGTAATCGCTATTATCATTATAATAGATGATAAAACCATTATTATTACTATCGCTATTGATACTACTATTACTATTACTATTACCATTACTATTACTATCGATACTATTATTAATAATGCCATTACCATAACCATCGTCATCATTATACTCTGAAAAGAAATAATACTGTAATTTCTAAGTAGAAAGAAAAAAATATATAAATTGAATGGCTTTCGTGTGCAAAACAGTAAATGAAAAACTGCACAGTAAAAAAAGAAATTAAAAAGAAAAGTGTATAAACAGAATTGATGATGATAACTGTAGAAAAGATATGACTGAAAATTGACGATTTCTCAGAACAGATATACATCATCTTTTGAATTTACTTTATCGTCTCTTGCTTATTACGTTTTCCTCGTCTAAATATCACTCTTTCTCTTCATTCTTCAGTTGCTTTATATCACACTGGATGGAGTGTGTTAAGTGCGATTCAATCTCTCTGTCCATCTCTCTCTCTCTCTCTCTCTCTCTCTCTCTCTCTCTCTCTCTCTCTCTCTCTCTCTCTCTCTCTCTCTCTCTCTCTCTCTCTCTCTCTCTCTTCTCTCTCTCTCTCTCTCTTCCTCTCTCCTTCCCCTCACACCCGTCCCTCCTCTCCACCTTCCCTCCTTCCCTCCTTCCCTCTCTCCCTCCTTCTTCCTCCTTTTATCCCATTCATTCCACGTCCAAACGAGAATCATGAAACTCAGCAAAACTCATTCTTCAACGTAAGGCCAATTGGTCTTGCAATGAGCCAGAATTCCTTTATAATGGGAATAGTAATAATGATGATGATGATGATGGTGATGATAAAGATGGAGGTGATGCTTTACAAACGCAGAAAGAAGTAGGAATGAGAATTAACATTTTCGCAATGCAAGAGGTGTATTTGACCAGTTTCGAACAGAACATGTATTTCTGACGAAGGTAGATTCGAAACTGGTCAAATACATCTCTTGTATTGTGAAGATTCATACCTTTTCTATTTTTCTATTTTATTTTTTATTTATTCATTATTTTTCTATTTTTCTATTTTATTTTTTTATTTATTTATTTTTTATTTATTTATTACTTTTCTATTTTCTATATGTTCTCATTCATATCTTTTCTACATGATGGTGATGATGATATGGATAGTGTTACTGATGGCAATATTGGTGATAATGATGAGTATATAATGATGATAATGATACTGATCTTCGTAATGATAGTAATGATGATGTCGGTAGTGAAAGTATGATGATAATAATAACAGTAACAATGATAATAATGGTAATGATGTTGAGGATAACAATAGTAAATAATAATAGATAATAATAATAATAATAAAATAATAATAATATAATAATAATAGTAATTATATTGATAATAGTAATAATTAGAAATGATGAATGATAGTAGTAATAACTGATGAATAATGATGGTGATATAATGACCTAACCCGGACTCCCTCCCTGGGGTCCATTCCCTATTAGGGGGCCAGCCCTCGGACCCCCTCCCTGGGTCCTTTCCTACCACGGCCAGCCCCCGGACCCTCCCCTGGGGCCTTCCCTACCACGGCAGCCCGGACCCCCTCCCCCTGGGGTGCACCACGGCCAGCCCCGGACCCCCTCCCCTGGGGTCCTTCCTATCCCCTGGGGTCTTCCCTACCACGGGGGGACCACCACGGCCTGCGGCCTTCCCTACCACGGCCATAATGCCCTCCTTCCCGGGGTCCTACCACCCTCCCCCTCCCCTGGGTCCTTCCCTACCACGGCCAGCCCCCGGACCCCCTCCCCTGGGGTCCTTCCCTACCACGGCCAGCCCCCGGACCCCTCCCTGGGGTCTTCCTACCACGGCCAGCCCCGGACCCCTCCCCTGGGGTCCTTCCCTACCACGGCAGCACCCCCCCTGGGGTCCACGGCCCCTCCCCTGGGGTCCCTTCCTACGGCCCCTCCCCTGGGTTCCTTCCTACCACGGCCAGCCCTCCCCTGGACCACGGCCAGCCCCCGGACCCCCTCCCCTGGGTCCTTCCCTACCCACGGGCCCCAGGACCCCCTCCCCTGGGGTCCTTCCCTACCACGGCCAGCCCCCGGACCCCCTCCCCTCCTTCCCTACCACGGCCAGCCCCGGACCCCTCCTGGTGGGGTCCTGGGGTCCTTGGCCACCACGGGGTCCAGCCCCCCAGCCCCGGACCCCCTCTCCTGGCCGCCGGACCCCCTCCCCTGGGTCCTAACCACGGACCCCTCCCCTGCCTTCCCTACCAGGCCAGCCCCCGGACCCCCTTTCCTAGAGGTATTTCGCCGGACTTTCCCAAAAAGCTCACAGTACTTCGAGACGGCGCGAGACATCGAGGTGTGTGGACTCTGAGAAAGGCAAACTTTGAATTCGAATTAAAGTCCAACCAGTGAGGTCCCCACAATCTGATCAACTTCCCCGACTTGTACGAACACTAGTGAATAATTCTATTATACTTTTATATGTAGTGCGGCTGCCTTAATTAGTATTGCCCAAAAATGCATACGTGCATGCGTAAATGTATGCATACATACATACATAAATACATACATACATACATGCATAAATACATGCATACATACATACATAAATACATGCATACATAATTACATCCATCCATACAAGAATACATACAGACATAAATACATACAGACATAAATACATACATACATACATAAATACATGCGTACATACATACAATCACCAACCCATCGTCACCCAGCCCAGAGAGGCGAGTCCTGGGCGGCGTCTCCTCTCTCTGTCTGTCTGTCTCTCTCTGTCTCTCTCTCTCTCTCTCTCTCTCTCTCTCTCTCTCTCTCTCTCTCTCTCTCTCTCTCTCTCTCTCTCTCTCTCTCTCTCTCTCTCTCTCTCTCTCTCTCTCTCTCTCTCTCTCTCTCTCTCTCTCTCTCTCTCTCTCTCTCTCTCTCTCTCTCTCTCTCTCTCTCTCTCTCTCTCTCATCTCTCTCTTCTACTCATTTGCAAAAATAAGTAACGAAAAAAAAGTTCAGATTCACGACGGGTAATTCTGCGCAGCCAACGGACAGAGATTAAGCCTTATAACACTGAAACCCGAAAATACTCATAAACCTTGTTGAAACAGGCTAATGGAGTTAGAATTCAGGCCGCTCCTATCTATTCATAGTTGCATCGGCCTATAAATGTATGGAATCATTTCCCGTTGGTCGGATATGTCAGTGGGAGAAAGAAAAAAAACAAAAAAAAGGCAAACTGGCAACTCTATCTATCAAGAGAATTCGAAAATGCATTTTTTTTCTTCTATTTCCTAAACATCTTTCAACGCAGATTTCAATATTTTTTCGAAAAATGTACTCCTTCTCATTCTCTAAATATAAAACGTACTCCATCATCCATTTAAGAAATAAGGGATTTCCGTTTAAAATTCGTAAACAAAAAAAAACAAAAAAACAAAAAGTGGTCTGACTGCGCAACGGAACGTGGGAGCAAATGAGAGCATTAAAATTTGGGATGGACGCCATTCTTACAATGATTGCGGTCATGCGGCCACCGATCGGTTTTCAAAGGGTTAAAAAAAAGGTGTATGTGTATGGAAGCTGTGTGCGTGTTTGTGTGTGAGTGTACGTGTGTACGTGTGTCATTACTATAAGATGGAGAGGTTAATCGAGGGAAAAAAGTATAAATGTAGCGGTGCACTTTTGGTCAAAAGAAAATTAAATAATGATAATAAAAAGACGAAAAGAAGAAGAAAATAGATGGAAAGAGAAAAATAGAAAGACAGAGGGACAGAAACAGACCAACAGGCAGACAGACAGATAGACGCACAGAGATAAAGAGGGAGAGAGAAAGAGACAGACAAACGGACAGAAAGGAAGAGACAGAAAGCGATAGACAGACACAGAAGCAAAGACAGAGACCAAAAAATAGGGATAAAGAGAGAGAGAGAGAGAAATAGACAGACATACAGAGATATATATATAGGCAGAGACAGACAGACAGATACACAGACAGAAGCAGAAACAGAGACAGGAGCATGTAGGAATCTCCACAGACAAAGAAAAGCGGCTCAAGTATTTAAGAATCTTTCCTTGTCCGATTCTGCACCAAACAACTTCTACCACAAGTGTTATTTCCATTATATCTCTTTGTTCAGTCAGCAACGTAATTCACAAGGGCTTAAAGTGCGTCCAGATATGCGATATCATACTCGTATGACTATATCGTCGTAGCTAACTGTTACACAAACAAGGGGACGTGAATAAACAGGTTTAAACTCGTTCAGTTGAAATGTGAGTCGAGTTTTGGAATTAATCTTCAAAGGTTTCGAGGTGAAAACTGATATAGATGTATCTTGATTTCAAAACTGTTTCATTTCTACGCTGAACTGGTTTTAACTTACTCTGTGCGTGGCTCGCTCTCTCTCTCTCTCTCTCTCTCTCTCCTCTCTCATCTCTCTCTTCTCTCGTCCTCTCTCTCTCTCTCTCTCTCTCTCTCTTCTCTTCTCTCCTCTCTTTCTCTGTCTCTCTCTCTCTCTCTCTCCCTCTCTCTTTCTCTCCTCTCTCTCTCTCTCTCTCTCTCTCTCTCTCTCTCTCTCTCTCTCTCTATTTATCTATCTATCTATCTCTCTCTCTTCTCTCCTCTCTCCTCTCTCTCCTCTCTCTCCTTCTCTCTCTCTCTCTCTCTCTCTCTCTCTCTCTCTCTCTCTCCCCCTCTCTCTCTCTCTCTCTCTTCTCTTCTCTCTCTCTCTCTTCTCTCTCTCTCTTCTCTCTCTCTCTCTTCTCTCTCTTCTCTCTCTCTCTCTCTCTCTCTCGTTCTCTTTCTCTCTCTCTCTCTTATCTCCCTCTCTCTTTCTCCTCTCTCTCTCTCTCTCTTCTCTCTCTTCTCTTCCTCTCTCTCTCTCTCCTCTTCTATTTTTCTATCTATCTATCTATCTCTCCTCTCTCCCTCCTCTCTATCTCCTCTCTCTCTCATTCTTCTCTCTCTTCTCTCGTCTCTTCTCTCTCTCTCTTCTCTCTCTCGCTCCTGTCTCTACTCTCTCTCCTTTCGATCTCTCTCTCGGTCGGAGCCTCTCTCATCCGTCTTCTCTCTTCTATATATATTATTATATATATATTTTATATTATATATATATATATATATATTATATATATATAATTCAACGTTGAATGGATTACTAATTATTATTATCCATGTTCTAAATAAATAGCTCCCTAACAGGCCTTTCAGCTGAACGTCTAATAAGGGAACCTGCCAAGAGATTACAGCAGCGCCAAGATTAAGACGTGAGTTAAACCGTACGCATAGCAATACGTTAGATACTTGTTCTCTCGTTTTCTTTCTCTTTTTTTAGTCACGGTAACAATTCTATCGAAATTCTTCACATTTCTCTTTTCCTTCGACTCGTGCTTCACAACAGAGGTCGAAGAGGAATCCAATGTTTAGATTATCTAAAAAGGGTAAGACGCGATTGTGTATATATCTGGATGCTGCTTCGTACATCAGATATGTAGAACAGAACAGTAAATTATTCTCTTATCCTCTCCCTCTCTCCTCCCATCTCATCCCGTGCCTCTCTCTCCGTCTCTCCTCTCTCTCTCCATCTCATCATCTCTCTTCCTTCTCTCTTCTCTCTCTTCTCTCTCTCATCTCTCGGTCTCTCTCTCTACTCCTTCTCCCTCGGAACCGCCCCTCCGCCCTCTCTCTTCTCTCCTCTCCTGTCATCTTCTCTCTCGTCACGTCCTCTCCTCTCCTCCTCTTCTTCTCCTCGCTCTCATTTCTCTCCTCTCATCTT